CCCGCCCCGCGTGGCCCCTTAAGCCAGCGTCAGCATCTGGTTCCGGCGTCAGGGTCCGTGCTGGGAGTGTGGGCTCTGGCAGCCCCTGCACTTCCTGCCTGACTCTGAACTGGACAGCCCGGCCACTGTCCGGCTGGCAGAGGGGCCCAGGGCTCACGTCCTCGGATGAAGGACGAAGCTCCCGTAAACGAACAGCGACAGTTCGTCTGGACTCAGCACTACCCTGGGCTTCCTGCCTTTTACTGTACGTTTACGTGTTTTCCTTCTTTTTGGGTTCTAGACTAAACTCCAAGAACCATGCTAAGAATAGCAGCTGATGCTGAAAGCGCCCTCCCGTGGCTGCACTGCGTCATCTGGCTCCCCGTGGCAGAGGCCGCAGCAGCGAGGACACCGTCCTGAGCCCACAGCACGCGGCGGCGGGTCTGTACGTGGTCCCTGAGGGCGACTCTGGAGTGCAGGGCCCCCACGTGAGCCCAGGGGTGGGGGATCTCGCACCACCTCTAGGTCACCCCAAAACCCACTGGGACCTGCAAGATAGGTGATGAAACTATAAAATGATAAACTTTTTAAAACTGCAATAATCTTCATCATCCTCCTTAAGGTATCAAGTGGATATTTAATTTTTTGTCACCAAGTAGATTCTAAAATAACAAACAGAAATCTACAGAAATATATTTTAATACGAAGGGTTAACACCAGCTTGTTCAGCTCCCAATAATTTCTTTTTATCAAGAAAAAAACCTTAATATTCCCCAAAAGATACCTCATGTAATAGAACGTATTGCGTTGGGTGATGAGTACGTATCAAATGCTTCTCTTAAGTGTGTGCCCCTTGAGTGACACAGTGTCGTGAGGGAAGCCATTACAACCCCATTCCCCAACTGCTGTGGTTCCACGGGGCCCTGGGTTTCTGCATGTGATCGCCCCGCTTAAGACGCTACTGTAACAGGAGTCGCCCCATCCCATCACACTGTAATCAAGCTCCACTCCCTTCCTCTCTCCCTTAGCCCCACCCCATCACACTGTAATCAAGCTCCACCCCCTTCCTCTCTCCCTTAGCCACATCCCAGCACACAGTAATCAAGCTCCACCCCCTTCCTCTCTCCCTTAGCCCCATCCCATCACACTGTAATCAAGCTCTACCCCCTTCCTCTCTCCCTTAGCCCCATCCCATCACACTGCAATCAAGCTCCACCCCCTTCCTCTCTCCCTTAGCCACCTGGAACCACTCCCGCCGGGCAGCGTCTTGTCTTAAGGAACAAAGACAGGGTGACAGAGAGAGGAAAGGGTTAGGAGAAGACTTCTACTTGGCAGACAGGCACAGGGAGTTAGAGTCCAAGCTGCCCAGGGAAGAGACAGGAGTGGCCACCTGCTTCATCTTCCCCTCAGCCCACAGCACACCCAGTCCAGCTGGGCCTAATGCCAGAGGAGCCTCACGCCTTCCTACAGAAACGGGGCAAGGTGTGAGGAGACCACAGCGTACTGCTGCCCCACGCTAAGCTCCAACTCGCCACGACACCGACTCGCGTCTCTCCGTGTGATTGCCAACGTGCACCTCCTTTGGCTGCTGGAACTAAGGTGTCGCCTCTGGGTTTGCAGCACAGGATAGGAGGTGGACGGCCTGAAAACACCCCAGGGGGTTCAGCAAGCAGCAGCGTCCTTCTGAAGCATGCACGTGCGCCCTGCCCTAGCCGTGCCTCTGGGTCACGCGTGCGCGGACTCACTCACCGGTCGAGTAGCGCCAACAAGGTGAGTCGGTCATACCAGACTTTGACCCACTTGCCGGGGAAGATGATGAATTTGTAAAACTGCTCTCGGTTAAACTTCCCTTGTGCTGAAGAGCAGGACGAGCCTTCCAGGTCCTGGCTCACGTGCTTTCAGAGACCAAAAGAAACGTCGGAGTGAGCGTGGGCAGTGCTGCACCGCGGGCCTGGCACACTTTGCAGCTTGAAATCGAATGGCAGGTGTTCACATCCTGACGCACACTAACACATTGCACTTCCGGTGGGCGCCCTGAGGGGAGGTAAGGTCCCCGTGCCACACAGCTCGGTGTCATCATCACACGTGTTAACTCCTGCTGCGTGCCACATCACGGCACAGTGTGCAGGCAGGCCGAGGAGCAAAGACGTCTAAACCAGTGAAACTGAAACGTGGCAAGTTTAGTCCCAGATTTGTAAAGTTTTAACTCCAAATTCATTTCTGATTAGCATTAGTCTTGTGAAAATGAAGGCAATTTGGGGGAAAAATCAGTCTTCATTGATTTGTTTTTCAAGGACTTAGTGAGGGACTCTCGAGAGTCCGGCAGGCCCCCAGCGGCAGCCTGGGTGAGCTAGCTAAGGGGCAGGGGCAGGTGCTGCTTCGCGTGGTGGGAGATCTAGGGCTGCTGTCAGCGTTCTCCGGGAGCCCCATACACCAACTGCAAGTCGCCGCGCCCTGCAAACCATCGAGCCAGCTCTCCAGCTGACTCCTCCTCACTACCTGGAGAAATCTATTTTTTGACCAAATCCTCCCGGCCCCTTGCTGCTCACCACCCCAGGCTCTGCCGACCCTCATACTAGTCCCTACTTCTGTGAAATCAGCTGTGTGGGCTCCATACGTGTGCATGAGATCACGCGGTATGTGCGTGAGATTACGCGTGTCTGTCCGTGCCTGGCTCCTTCACTTCGGTCCACCCGTGTTGTTGAAACGACCAAATCTCCTTCCTCTCAGAGTCGAGCGGGCCCTGCTGTCCACACTCCACTTCTGCTTGTCTGCTCCTTGATGGACACCCAAGCTGATTTAACTGACACTCCCAGTAGAGGCCTTCCTGCACGCGCCACACACGAGCAGGACTAGGCCACAGAGCCACGGTCGGGCAGGAGACACTCGGTGTGTTTTGCACAGGCGAGCAATGGTGTATAAATTTTGACTCACCATGTTAGCGAGCATCCTTTGGAAAAGTTTGGTTAAGCAATCAAAACCAACACCAGACTGTATTTTTTCTTTTCCAAAGGTGAAGTTCTCTGGAAGGGGTCAACACACTGCCAGAAAGGAAGTAAATACAGAGACGAGGAAAGGTCGCACTGACTGCCATCGTGCCGCCCACCAGCCTCTCCTCAGTCTGCGCCAGCAGCAAAGTGTCCCTTCTGCTAAGGAGGCTTTGGCTTTGATCCCTGGCTCTGTCTCCAGGGGCTCATTAAAGGTTGTCTGGATAAAAGAACTTAATATGCTATCTCTGAGTGAAATAATAGAAAGCTTCACATTTTAGACCCCTTCATGATAATGTCACTTGCCCCAAGAATAGGTTTCTCTTCAAGTCAAACACTTAATCTTTGAGTGCTTATATACAAGGCAATAATACATTTTTCTTTTTTAGAGAGATTTTTGCTATAGGGCACATGCAGTCACTAGAGAAACAGAGAGAGACAGAATGTGAGAAATCACCCCCCAGGGAGAATGGCCACACCATAACCCCTTCTCCTCGTGGGATCTTGGGAACATGCATGCATGTACTCTGCATGAGTTTTAAGCTGCCAGATCTGGGACTTGAACCACGGTGGACTACGTGGGAGTTCAGCTAGTAACCAACACACCATCTGCTGGTCCCAATAATAATTTTTTTTAAGTATTTATTTTTCCAAACCAGGTCGGGGAAGCCACCTAGCCCAGTGACTGCAGCAGGATCTGAGCACCCTAGCAACCAAAGGCCAGTGGGGCAGAATTCGTGCTGTTTGGAAAACAAGGCAGTGCAGCCACACCCTGCTGCGGGCGCCTCCTCTCTGCTAGCACCAAAGGCTGCCAGCTGTAAGCGGTTCCTGGCGCGCACTCTGAGACCACTGCGCAGGGGTGTGTCAGCGCGAGCTGTCAGGTAATCCCGCCGAGAGACAGTTGTGGGCCCGTTTCTAGAACCCCATGAGCAGCCGCAGGGTGTACTTACCCGGGGGGTTTCGGACTGGGTCCTCCGGGCCACCATGAGCACCAGCTGCTGCTGGAGGGCACTGACGGCAGCGTCGCCGGAAGACGGCTCTTGGCTCTCGGAAGTCGTGGTGCTGGAGGAGCTGATCCTCACCTCTCTGAGGATGGGCAAAACAGAAGCTCTGTCACCCAGAAACCCACAAGTCACCCGTGCACCGCACACCGGGAGGCTGGGGACGCTGGTACAGGCAGTGGGTGGCCTTTACACCCTCACCCACACTCTTCCCAGCACAGACGCGTGCACCGGGCGCTCCAGCAGGCCGCCGTCCCGCACACACTGAACTCACTCGGGCTGCCTGGGCCCACAGTGTGTCCTCCTCCGCGGGAGGTGGAGGCCTGGGGAACATTCTGGAGGTGACAGCCTTAATTTTCTGTATATTCAGTGGGAGGGGAGGTGGAAGAACACGTTCAAATCTCACATTTAATAAAAACAGACGTGGGATTGGTAATAAATAGCGGGCTTGGGCTTGGCAATTCCCAGACACCAATGAGGATAAAGCGGTCGGTGACAGCTCTGCTACCTTCTCCCACCCCAGCACTAACACCCCCTCTGCTACCTTCTCCCACCCCAGCACTAACACCCCCTCTGCACCCCTCCCCTCCACCTGCAGCTGGGAACTTACACATTAGCTCAGTAATTGAAACAGAGGGATGCTAAGTTGGTTGGGATCTCTATTACATAACTGCATTATGTGTGACAGCACACAGATCGACAAGACTGACATTAACAGAGCCCGTTGAGCAATCTCCATCCTGGCATTTCTCCTTCAGCTCAGAAAGCAAAAGCTAGCACATACTCCTCCCACTGAGTGTCCGGCAAGATGCCCAGAACGCTGGCTGCCTGCCCTGTCTTGTTGACAAACTCTGGCTAGCAGTCTTATTTCAGCAATCAGCCAAGGCCATATTCACAGGTCAAATCCTAGCCCCAGGGATGGATCCTGGATATTCTAAGCTAATCGTGAAACCCCATCACCTGGCCAGTGTCTGGCTTTGGAATGCAAACACAGCACAATTCCAAAAGGTCATCATGGAGCCTAAAGGAGTCAGGTGGGGACAGAGAGTCCATGGGCAAGTTCTTCTAGTTCTTAAAACATAACAAAAGTAAGGGACTGTCTTTCGCCAGACCTTCAAATGCTGTGTGTGTGAGAAACACACGGTCCCACAGCAGCCACACTGACACCGTAAGGGATCAGCCAAGAGCCACGGGATTGAGAGGATCTAGTTTCTGAAGGCAGCGCTGACTGTCCAAATTAACCAACCATAGAGTTATGGCTGTCCATAACTCTGGGCTTCTCGTTTCCAGAAATAATGTGTCTGTCTCCCTATTGTTTAACCATTTTGAATGGAGTGTGTGTTGCTTGAGCCCACACTGCACCGACGAACATGGAGTCCTTGGCAGTGCGAATGCTCCGGCAATGTCATCACCTCCAGTCTCTCATCTACACATTTCAGGGTAAAGTGACAAGTTTCTGGATCTTTCTTTCTCCTAACTCCTTACAACTATATTTATAAACATACTATCCCATATGAACTGGGTTTAAAACGCTTCCGCTATCCCACACACGGCTACACGTGAACTTCTTTACACTCTTAAGACATAGTTTATGACAGATGGCACAGTCACCAAAGTTCCCTTATAAAGACCCTTCAGGAAGCACCCTGTGCCAAAGGCAGGTAGGAGGGGGCCCCCTGGGCTGAGCACGTGGGCCTTGAGGATGCAACAACCTGGTCCCCCCATAGGCCCCCAGGCAGTGCTTATCCATCCTGTCTATACCCGGGGTCGTGTCTGCCACCAGCAAGAACCACGTCAGCTAGATTATAGACTCATTCATCAGACCTTTCCTGCTTTGTACAGAAACCACCGCACGGTGACCCGACCTAAGATGCAGGGCATGCCAGGACTTCACTAAAACCAGACTGCAGGTGAGGCGGGGAAGGACCCTGCAGCTGCAGGAGCCGGCTGAGGACGAAGCTCCAGTGCAAACCCCTGGAGGGGCAGAGCACCCTCTGCTGCGGAGCGGAACAAGCCGGGTGGCTACTCTGAGGGAAGCAAGCAGCGCTTTCAGAGAGCCTCCTGGGAGTGCCTCTGGCTAGGAACTTGAAGGGAGTGTCCACACACGTCTGATGACGTCTCCATGTTACTGAGCATGCTTCTGATTGCAACATGGTAATAAGGACAAACAGCGGTATGTTACGGAGGCCACTCTTCAAAATCCTTTGTGTGCGTTCTAGAATTAAAGAGAACGGAGTTCTGCTACTGCTCCACTCCATAGTCTCTGTAACTACAAGCATGTTGTTCTCTGGCCTCACATCCTCACCTCTCATACGGGGAAGACGCTCCCTCACAGAGACCACCACAAGAATTGTCAGGCTACATGTGCGAAGCGCTGGAAGGTGCCCCCATCGAGCAGGCCCTGGTGACCGCCCTGACTTCCAACTCGCACTCACACACTGTCACGCACACTCTCACACTCACACACACTCTCACACACTCACACACTGAGGTGTGCTCATGCAGAACGTCAAGTACTTCAATCGAACCAGCAGCTTCTTTTCCTCCTTTTCTTCTAGCAACGTTTCCCCATACAACCAGTTCACAGACACCCGTGTCCGCGTTGCATCCTGGGCTTCCATCGCAGCGGAGGCTTATTCCAGATCCGTGAACGGGTGGCGCAGCACTCAACGTCTTGAGTCTCGGAGAAGCTTGGGACCACTGACATGTCCACGGGGCACCATCAGAGTCGGACCCCGAGGACTGTCTGACCAAGTTCGAGCCAAGCCACTGTCCTGAACATGAATTAAATAGAGTAGCACTGACGGCTTTCAGACAGCTCCCGGGGACAGCTCCCAGGGGACAGCTCCCAGGAGGCCAGCTCTCAGGGAGACAGCTCCCAGGGACAGCTCCCAGGGACAGCTCCCAGGGGACAGCTCCCAGGAGGCCAGCTCTGAGGGCCAGCTTCTGTGCTGTAACTCAGCTAAGTGGAGCGACTGGGTTGGGGCTCACATGGCAGCCTGGAGCTCTGTGTCCGCACAGGACACAAATCACCTCGACGTCCTAGCACAGAGCCTCTGTCGTCAACCTTAAGGACCGGGCACTCGGCCGGTATATGCTGTGGAGAACACATCTGCTCCCAGTGACATTCCACACGTGTGACAACAGACACATCTTACCACACTTCGGGCAGCGGCGACCCCTCTGCCCGGAGTGCGTAAGGCCAACGCTCTCTGAGAACATCGGGGACAAGCAGGCGTGGGCTGGGGCTGACGTCAGAGGACTGAGGCCTCGCTACTGGGCTGTCCGTCTGCAGAGACGGTGATGGGGCGTTACGTATGGGGAGCTGCTTCTATGCAACCTGGGCGTTCTCACCTCAGAGCAGCTCGATGGTTAACTCAGCCACCTCCTACCAGAAACAGAGAGTCCGCCAGGGCCCTCTGCTCCTACTTCTGCTGGACCTCCATCCACCCTCCAGAGCCCTGGGGGGCCGCGGAAGCCGGTCTCAGGGAACCCCCCCCAGCCCACTGGAGGCTCATGCCACGTGATCAGGCTGCACTCATCGGACACGTGAGACGTACTGGCGTTTACGCAGAAGCGTGCTGGCCTTGCAGGACTTGGACGAGAGAGGCCATGAGGGCTCGATGACGCTGGCCACCTCTGACCGCAGGAGGAGGTGCTGAGTGGTGTCCAAAGGGAAACCGGAGAGAGACTGGGACAGGGGACGGAGCCCACAGCCGGCGTCCCCACCCAAACCTCTGTATCTGGGCAATGTCTTCAGCTCTGTGTGTACTACCATTTTTATTTAATTAGAAGACAGGTCGGCTCAGAACTTCTCCGTGATGAGACCCCAAATTCCCACCAGGACTAAGCCTGTAGGAGGTAGGCTTCTTCCCCAGGGCATTGGAAGGGGCTGCCATTCTCGCACTTGGAAAGGCGGGCAGAGAAGGGTCTGCTGTTCAGAGACCCCTAAGTCACATGCCCCACAGGAAAGGCCCCAGCAGTGCCCCTGACCTGGCCTCACCAAGGCCACTTCCCTGTGACCAATGCATCACACAGAGCAAGCCCGGGCAGCTCTGGGCACAGCTGCTTCGACACAGAAGCCCTAACTGTGAGGGAGTGAGAGGGCAAGCGAGGGAGGAGACGTGTATGAAGGGAGAGACGAGGGCAGGGAGACATGCACGGTGGCTCTCGGGAGCCCGGGCTGGGATCTGGGCTTCCTGGGACCCTGCAGCCCTCGCTCATGGTCACAAGCCCACTGTGCCTTCCAGTCTGAAAGCCTCATTCTAACTGGCACTGCTGGCAAACGTGGTCAGGGACGTCTATCCTGTGAAAAGGACAGACGCAAAAACGAAACCCTCGTAACTTTACTTTGGTATAGAGTAGGAGGCTTCTATCGAAATTCAGCACTTTGACGTTCAGGACTACGGGACACGATGCCACTGCGAAGTTCGTTCTCACAACATGAGGTAGCGAGTGTAAGCGGGCTGCCAACTCAGGTGATGAGAACCCCTCCAGCACCCTCACAGATGTCCCAGCGGTCAGAGCCCAGTCCAGACAGCGGACCTCCCCCTGCCCCTGGACTGCCACTGCTGGGGGAGTTTGCATGCTTTCTGGCTAGAGAAAGAGAAGTCTGCTTCACATCTCTTTTGACAGTAGGGAGTGCCTGAGGGACAGGAGGGACAGGGTGGGGACAGGGTAGGGGCAGGCCAGGATGGAGAGTATGCCTTTATCCCACTGCAGAGACTTTGGGCACAGCTGGCTGCTTCAGGGCGGAGCCCAGGCGGACTGTGGCAGGAAGCCCATCTCCAGTCGCAGTCAGACCCCCGGGAACAGCAGACACTAGCGCTCCTCGCTGGCCAGAAGGGGCAGAGGTAGGTGAGCGTAGCTGGGAGCCAGCCACCTGACGGCATCCCCTGGAGACCAGGCACAAGCACAGGGGCAGCTTGGCTCTGTGCATGCTGGAGGACCTGCCCAGTTATCCCAGTGGGGAAGGAGACTGCCCCGGGGAAGGAGTGAGGGCCACAGAGCGGGATCGGGCTCCTGAAACTCCTCTTACCCTGCCAAGCCTAGGGCTCTCCACTACGCCAGCACCTTCTACCAGTCCGCGGACATCCGCACCATCGTTTTCTTTTCTTTTCTTTTCTTTTTAATAATTATCAGAGAGATTTTATTCATCATCAACACTATCTTTCAATTTGCTATAGGGCACATATGCTCACCAGAGAGGGACAGAGAGAAAGAATGAGAAAGTGAGAGAGCAAGCCACCGGGTCCAGGACTTGAACCACGGTTGGCCATGTGAAAGACTGGCTTCTCGACCATCACACCAATCACGGGACACGCAGGCCAAGTTCCCAGCACCTGGACTGGCATCATTAAGAAGCCAGGAAGCTGCCTAGATGATCTACCCTCGAAACGGCGCACCACGACGCGAGAGAGAGCTGACCGTGTGCCCAGCCACTCCCCGGCACGGACTCAACCGAGCCTTCGCCAGCCGACTGACCCGCTTTCCCAGGACGCCCCACACGCGTGCTCAGGGCTCCTGTCTATACTCCCGTGTTATTCATGTTTGCAACTGGCAACAATAAAAGTGTTCCATCTCTTCCTGATTACTCTTCAATGCCAGGTTCTCTTTTCTGTCACAAACCCAAAGCCTTGACACCTGGAGGCGATTAGCACCCCCCCCCCCC